TGTCTATGCATGGAAAGAAATGTCATAGTGGAAGCGTGACACCTTTAGGCACACCTGACTCATCTGTTCAAAACTACTTGTTTAGAGAGATATTTTAAATGCCTTGGTTGCTTTCCCTGGTATTACAGAGTTCATCTTGGACTTTCCTTTGGAATTTGTGCTGCTAGTGGGGCACCTAATGAAATTCTGGTTTCCTTCTGAAGTCACCGTTACACTGAATGTTGCTTTCATTGACACTGCATCTATGAGCCAGTGTTTCTTTCTGCTATACAGCACTTTTAGCAGCTTCTATTGCTCTTTCAAGAATATATTTACCAGGCTTTCTACCGTGGCAAGTGTTCTTAAATAGCGTAAGTTATAATAAAGACAAAGTCCTCTTGATTTTTAAGCAATGTGATGTGGTTTCTGCTATTTAAAAAAAAGTGAGAGTGTCATTTTTGCCTCTCAACTTATTCCAGGAACCAGAATGCCTCTTAAATTGATATTTTAAGAGCTCAGAAATTACTATTTTAAAAGAACTATAAGTGTATTAAGAAAAACGATGTCAGAATGCAGTTTTAGACAACAACCTGCGTTAAAAGTGAGGTGTTTTTAATATTTAGCAAAAGTAAATCTGTGCAGTTCAAAACAGGTCTTTTAATACAGTCTGATATGGCTAATTAGAATTTTTGATGCTGAGCACCTCACTGATATTTTAATATGCTAATAGAGCAAAACTCAGTAAGGAGCATTAAAGATAGCAATGTGAAAGTTGCTGTCAAAAACATCTTTGTTTTGGAAAGCCGGTTCACAGGTAGCTTCAATGAACTCAGAACAAAGCACTGAAGACACAGTAGAGAGTTCAACCCAGAGCAGCACAGCTCTTTTCAAGTATTATATTGTTTTAATGGAATCTTGGAGCGGGAGCTTTAGCCCATTGAAATGTCGCTTAAAGGACAGGTTCTTCTGTCACTAGCTGGAGCTGTGTGGATGAAATGATCACAATAGAGTGTTGTAATGCATTTTAAAAGTGTGAGAAATCAGTTTGTCTAGACTAAGAGTGCGCCTACAGGGAATAGGAATTTTAGAGCTTCTGTGCTCTTTAGGTGTCAAGTATGTGATAGATGCCAAGCCTTTTTATTCCATATCTTTGGCAACAGCTCAGCTATGCTACAGTACCTTACATGTCTACTGCAAGCAAAAGCAGTGACTTTGTGTCAGGACAACTTGGGCTCCGGAATCCAGAAGCTCATTGTCCTTACAACTGTCTGTTCAATTGCCAGCTTTAAACTGGGGAAGATATCAATAAACAATTGCTAGATTCCCAGAAGGCATGGAAACTTTATCTGTAATGAGTCAAAGGATGAAGAGTTAGCAGCACTAAATAGTTATTTTAAGTCCTGAATTAGGCAGGTTTGGGTTTTCACCTTGAAAGATTTTTATGGGATGAATCTCATATTATTAGTAAAATAACTTTGATTCGGAGCCAGCTAAGTGCCCAAAAACATGTCCTGGAGCTGCTTGGGGTTCGTTTGGGTTTTTGGTTTTGATCGTATCCAGATAAGCGAGTCTAGGCATTTCTTTACTACAGATATGTCATAAACAGAGAATTCACCAATTTTCCATAGTGTATATATATTTTTTATATTGCATTCTGTATGCACTAACGTATCTAATTTTTATGGGTATGAAGCATCCATGTGCTTCGCAAGAGGAAATAGAGAAAGTCCGTGATGTTGTTTAATGTGGCATTTTATTTTAATCCCAGATAACTCTGAAGTATTTAAACTTCTAAATCTTAAGTGTTAAATTCATAAGAGATGTACAGGTTGCTCAGAATAATGGCGAAAAGATTTTTATTGTTTTTGTCTATTTGATGCTTGCAAGTTTGGAAGTATTTGATGATGACAAAACCACAGAATCTGTATGGGTATCAGGATCCAGGTTATTTAAAATAAATATCAATCTCTTTGTGAATGGTTCATATATTTTCTCCATAGAGATATTTTAGGAAATGTATAGGTAAAGGATAATTTACTGGCCTGTTCCTATAAACAGGCAAACTAACGTTGAAGCCCCACTGAACTTTTACTGTGGGTAGAAAAAAAAATTTAAACATAGCAGCCAGTTCAAATCAGAAAACTTTAAGCTATTTCTTTCTAAAACTGTGCTTTAAACTGAAGCAGTTATAAATGCTAGTCTATCAAGATGTTTTTTGTGTATGTGTCGCTACATGTAATTGGTAATGTTTCTTTTTCATGTCCTGCCTAGACTTAATGAGAAAAAATACATATATGGTCCTAATGAAACATTTACAATTAAATTCTAAAGATGTTTTGACAGTTTCTTGTAGGTTGTTTGAGTACAACTTTCAGAATTTCAAAATTTTCTGTGTATGTGCTTGTGTATATATGTGTGTGTGTGTGTGTGTTCTAGTTGTAAATGCAAGACAAGTACTTTAAACTTGCTCCCTGGTGCATTTTTGAGTGATTGATCTCTCAAAGTTTATTTTCTGAACTGAAATGAAAGATGAGACACTTCTCATGTCGGGGGGTGATCTGGTGACAACATCAAGAGCTTTTTAGTTGGCCACAAAACAAAATGCTGTGACGTTAGTAGCTACAGATGTGTAAACCCACAATGTTTTATTTAAACTTATTTGCCTTTTCATTCAAGTCCTGCCCCCGCTAGCGAAATGAGCTCCATGTGCCTGACGTTCTGCTACACGTTTTGGACTTCTACCAGGTTATGGTTTGTTCCTGGGAAGGGGAAGGACCCAGGAGCTACCACTGCCCTTTTTAAGTGTGTGTCAGGAGCAGTTTAGCATCCGTAGAGGAGGTATTTGATGCTTGAGTTCACTCTTTACTGTGCTAGGATGAACTGACAGGTTAATTTTATGTAATTACTGTTTAGTTTTTAAAGAGAAAGTTCACTTTAATTATATCAATGCTTGTGAGAATAATTTTTCATATCAATTCTAGTGAGGTTTTTCTGCATCTTACTCGCTTGTTAAAATCAGCTAATATTTTTTGATTGTTTTTATGGTACTTTGGTTTTATCTTCTGTTCACTTTTTTTGTTGAGAACACACAACTGAAGCCTTAGTAGGAGGCCATCCTACTACCGACTTTATAAGATTTTATCAACCGTTTTCCTTGCAAGTTAGAATCTCCCGTATCTTCTTCTGCTTCACAAAATTGCCCAAGAATGTTATTGGTATCAAATGGTGTGAAAGCTTGAAAAAAACTCCTTCCCTATCAAAAATGTCGTATCACTACTGTGCCTTTTTAAGAAACGTAGGCTCAAACTGACAAAGGGGCTTGAGAAATTGTAGGCCTGGATGTTTCTGTGCTTAATGTTAGAGCCTCTGGTCTTGGCAGGATTAGCAGTGCTGTATCAAATAGCTCCTAATGTGCATGTGTTGAATCTGAGTGCTTCAAAAAAAAAGAAAAAAAAAGTGTGTACATATACACACTACTATATGTACACTACTACTATGTGTACACTACTGTGTACACACTGTGTACACTACTATATGTGCACACTACTATATGTACACTACTAATACTATATGTACACTACGCACTACTATGTGTAGTACTACATGTATATACATATATATGTAGTACTGCACTCTGAGATTTCTGAAATGAGGAACTTCTAAGTTATCTGAAGAGATCTGAAATATCTGATTTTTTTTTCTTTTCTTGATCCTGAGCATTAGTGAGTAGTGCTGAGAAGTGACTCTGAAAAATAGATCTATAGTGGAAATATAGATCTTTAAACCTTGCCATTTAAAGAAGAGACATCAGTTTTATGTAATAACCTATTGGTTAGAGAAGTAAGAGAGCTGAATTCCAGTAAATTCTAGTTCTGCTGTCTTGACCAGTTTCATTGTGGAAAAGGTAACTAGCCGCCTGCCTCCTCCTTCATGCCAACCACAGGCAAAAGTCCTCCACTGAAGCACACAGTGAGCTAGCTGTGGTTTGGGGGAGCAGCACCATTTACATGAGGCTTAGGCTCTCAATAAAAACAACCAGTTTTGTCAGTCTGTGCTCCGTTTTTTCTCAAAGCAGGTGGGCTGAAGAAGAGCATACGTTAGATTTCCACGCCTGCTTTGCTGGTGTGAGGTGGAGCAGTGGTGACTTCGTGGCTGTGGTCTGAGGGTTGGAGAGATGCCCTGTCCCTTCCCTGGCACTGGGAGTTGTGCAGGATGGGGTGCACGTTCAGATAACCGGTCTATACAAAATCTAATTCAGTCCAAGGAAGCAGGATGATGGAAACTCCAACCTGTGTCAGCTTCAGTTTTATAAAACTGCTCTCATAATGGTTATCTTGTGAATTTTTGTTATTGTAATTAAAGAAAAAATGACAAAACAGAGTAAAAACAATAAACACTGTTATTTGACAAGCCTTTTATGTGAATCATTTTTAACAAAATTAATTGTATCTTTCCTAGGATATCACTACTTTAACTGGTGTTCCAGATGAGCACATCAAAACCAGAAAAGTTCACATTTTTGTCCCAGCACGTAATGCAATGCAGGCAGGAGTTAACAACACAAAGAAGTGGAAGATGGAATTTGATAACAGGGAGCGCTGGGAGAATCCTTTAATGGGTTGGGCATCTACGTGAGTAGTTACTGAATTTGGATATATTTTGCTCCTATATTTGTCTCTTACAGTTGTGTGAGCTTATCTTTAAAATCTCCTTTCTACCTGTCAATCTGCTTGTCTTTTAATGTACCTACAGTTGGTAGCTGCAAGTTGCTCACATGATTAATGACCTATTATGATTAAAAACAGATTTTAGCTCAAAAAATCATCTGGAATAATCTGAAAACAAGCGTTAACAGAATGAAAAAAAAATGCAACTATTCCATTTGTGGTGATGTTGTATGTCAGCAGCAGGGAAAGAAGGTCATTAGTTATTTGAAGCAGTAAATCCTTTTTAATGACCAGTTGCATGTTTTTCATTAGGTTAAACATAAAATAGTGATTATCTAGCTTCTGAAAATTCTGAGTGAAGCTTTATGAAGCTAAAATGAAGAACCATGACTGTTTTTCAAAATCTTTGAAATCAATACACTGTTTGCCTTGGTGCTTCAATAATTAATTCGGTTTATAATTAATAATATAAAAAAATCTTAAACATGCCCAAATCCAGAAAATCTAGAAAAATACTAGCCTAGCTAGTTAGGTTATAGTTCAGAGATGTAAGTATAATATGCTCTGATAAAGTACTTTTATTTTTAATATTCTAAATTCAGACATGGTATTAATAATTTTTAAAATAAGTAAATATTATTGAATTATTGAAATACTATTCAACTCTGAAATCGAGTCTTCCTGTTAGGATGATTTCCACTGAAATGAACTGAGGATACTCATGACCTATAACATCTCTGTTGTATTTGTATTACAATTATTTTACAGTTATTGCAGTTATCTGTACATTGCAGAAAAGATTGACAGTTAAGAATTGTTTTAAAATATTAATTGCATTGCAATGCCTGTTTTATAACTTGAAGCGTCAATATATTAATAGCTACCTCTTAATCAGGTCCACAGGTTTCTAACCTTTTCATCTTAAGCATATTTAAACAACTGTTTCAGAAGACAAAATTTCAGTGAGTTAATATATGTAAGATTTGGTGATTCCACTACTGAAAGCAACCACTACATTTAGCATGGTTGTTTTACAGTCACTGTGTGGTTGAGTGTTAGATTGTTGGCCTACTAGATCCCTTTCCCTCCATCCCAAAGTGTCTAGCCATTCGAGTATGGTCTGTTTATACCTCTGACCAGATTATGATTTTGTAGCAGGTGCCAATAACACCTGCTTTAGTCCAGGTTGAATTTAACTTATCTTTTAATCCCCCTTAGCTTTTCAACTGACTTTACGTTCTCCAAACAATTTTCTGGATGGGGTTTTGTGTGATCTCAGCCAAAATAATGGCTTTCAACCTCTCTAACAATTGTATCCATTTATGCCAAATAAACCACCTAGAAAAATGAGCTGTGCTAGTTCATCTGTTAAATTATTGTGGAGTAACCTTATTGTGTGAATTTTAAATGGAAAAGCTCTTTTGAATGATTCTCTGAATACAGTCTTATTTGGGTATAGGGGAAGGGATATTTCCCATGTAAACAAGCTCCAAATAGGCCAAAAGTGAATGCTGGGTTGTGAGCTGACACCACTGAGTCAAAGGTTTTGTAAACTAGTTTATGTTTGTTCGTTTTTTAAGGAACTCTCTCAAGGACTATTAGTGGACATTTGGGTTGTTTAAAATTACTGCTGAACATCCAGAAATACTTAAGAAAAATATCTTCCCTTCACATCTAATTTCTGCAAAGATTCTTCTGCTGGTAGAATTATTCCCATTTACTTTTGGATAGTGTAATGGGATTAATTAATTAGCTGTTTTCCTTTGTGCTCCAACTTAAAATCCTTAGCCATATGTCTTTGCTATCTATTATGTTACAGTCTTATGTGCTTTTTCCGCTATGTTTTTGTCACCTCTTCTTGGATATATTTTTTTTTCCCTTGAGGATTACCTGTTTGTAGAGCCAAATGAAATGAACCCATGACATTTTTTGAAGAAAACTTCATTTAAAAGCTTCATTGCAGGATTGCCCATAGATAGTTATTGAATATTTCTTTTAATACAAAGTTATAAACAAAGAAACATGGGAAACATATGGCTTGTGTTCTGTAGAATCTCATACAAGAACAAAATGTAGAATCTCTGTTTGTAATAATTGATAGAGATCTGAGAAGATAGGAATTTCTGCAGCACTATAATTGCTAAAGCTCATCATGCTGAAGGACATCATGCTCTCTCATTCTGAGCTCCACAGTTTGCTCGCGGATTATCAGAAATGGAAACATATGAATAGCTCATTTATGGAAAGAAATCAAGAAGCTGTATTAAATTGGATGAAAGATGATCCTACATGAAAATAAAACAAATCAGTCCTCATTTCCAAACCGCTTCTGTCCTGGAAGGCTTTTCGCCAAACTCCTGCCGTACTGAGCAGGCACGAATCCTTTGCTACATCTCGGATGGACACCTCTCTGCTTCCTGGTAGCATTCCTATTTAGTAGCATCATTTTCCCAGCCTAACGTGGAAGAAGGGAACAGTGAGCAAAAGCTGTCACAGTACTGCAGGATTCTAGTTGCTTGATTCTGCACTGATTATGGGCTAATTCATAGTTACTGATTCATACCACCCTTGTAAGCTAGATTTTTAGATTTCTTTAAGAAAGCTTATCTTAATGGCTTGTGCAAGTGTAAATTCTACCTTTATCCTGTTCTTATTTAGGGGAATATATTGGATATATAGAGAACTCAATTTGTTCCGTTTGTACATCAGATAAAATTACACTGTTGTGTTTGCTGGAAGCTAGATTCCCCCTTGCCCCCTCCTCCCCACTTCCCGTCACAGGCTTTGTCCTTCATTGTAAAGAGTTCAATGTATCTTTGATTGCTTTTTTCTCTTCATCTACCCTTATGGCCTCAAAGCAAGAGAACAGTTGAGCGGCAGCCCCTTCAATAGCTTGCTGCAGTTTGGACTTGTCTTGTCAGTCGTCTCCCAGGCTCCCAGTGTTGTCTCAGGGAAGCGTTATGGAAACATTTTTGCAGCCACAGCAAATTTCTTATTTAATTTCCATAATAATTTTGTAGGTAAATTTATAGAACCATTCTTGTTTTCATAAGTTTTTTGTTTTTATAGCAACAAATTGAGTTTTTATAAGATCGAATTAGGTATTTTAATTTCAAATATCTTTTTGCTTGTGTTTTTGAGAAATAGCTGATGATCTAAAAATAACCTCTATGTAATCAGTTAAGTAGCAGTTTGAGTTCCTGAACTTTGTTTTAAGCTGAGGTCTGATATTCCATTCCTGTGCTTGAATAAATTATGGAGATCATATGACTTCAGAGAGTTTGGAGTTCTGAATTTGTTCATGTACTTTTCAATTGCTTACCTGATATAATACTCTCTTCTGGTTGAGATTACTCTTTTTCCCTAGTTGTCTTTCAGACTTCTGGCTTTCTTTAATTGCCTTTAACATTTCAGTCTCAAAAAAGGTTCCTCGCACTGTACATAGCTTTCATATTTAAAAAGATTACTGCAGGGCACTTACGTTGCTTTGGCAGGTAACAATTAGACTTATTTGTTGAATAAAAAATTTATGGCATTGGTTTCTGGAGGGATTTGGGAGGGAGGGAGTTGATTCAGCAGACTGAAAGAGCAAAAGATTGCCTGCACAAAGTAAGTGTTAGTCCTTACAGTAATTTCTAAAAAGGGATTTTGAATGGCAGAATTTGAGAATGATGCTTTTGAATAATAATACTAAAATAATTTTTAATACAACATTTGGGTAGTACTTGAGATATGGATATGGTTAAGAATTTTGGGTTTCAAATTTGCTTAAAATTTGCCATCTGATTTCTTGCAGAGCTGATCCTTTATCCAACATGGTTCTTACTTTCTCTACTAAAGAAGATGCCATTGCCTTTGCTGAAAAAAATGGTATGTATTAGGTGTGATGGGTTCATTTTTTTATAGACAATCTTTATAAAGATTTCCTGCTCTGCTTCACAAACTATTAGGCCATTAGTGCTCTGCTTGAGGAAGTGTAAAATTTTGGGGAAGGGAGGGAGGAGGTTGCATTTCTGAGGGGGAGGAAGGCATCGCATCTAGATCTTCTACTTCCTGGAAAAGTGCTGCAACCTCCTAGCGTTACTTCTGTAATACTTCTGCAATACTACCTGTGTTTTTAGTGAGAACAGAGATCTGCTCAGGTCTGGAAAAAAAGGTAATATGAACACTTTATCTTTGAGAGTATTCCAGATGGAGGGCCCCCCTGTGCTCTGATCGTCCACATCAATCGTCCTGAATTTTTTATTTTTATTTTTGTTTCTTGCCCCACTAAGCCTTGACATGAGCACCTCAATACTAGTTAAGGAAAGACTATTACAACACCTGTGGATGACAATCAGAAAAGCTAAAATTAAGCATCTACCAGCTCAGTGTTGGCTTTAGTGTTCATTAGGTTGTGGTGTGGCTTATACCTAACTATGTATGAAATGTGCATAGTATTTTCTGTGTAGTGTTCTTGCATTAGTAGCTTCAGTATCAGATATAACTGGATACATACATTTTACAATATTTCGTTCTGCTTTTAGAAAGAAATGAGAATTTTCCATGTACATTTACTGTGGAACTTGGCTTCTAAACTGAGGTGCTAGTGTAACAGACCTAATTCTAGGAACACAATATTCGCCTCTCTGTCCTTTGCATATGAACCACCCAAGTTTTCCTTAACAAAGTTCCTTAAGAAGAACCTCAAGTTTAGCTTCTGCAAATCTGGGGTACTGCACTTATTTTGGAATGATTTCAGACTCCCCAAATCTCTCTCACCTAGGCCTTTCAGGAACCTCAGGCACATTCTCTTATCTTCCTGTGTCCATTGAGGTATCTCCTATGGTAGCACTGAATACGGTAACAGGAGAATGGTGTGAAACCAAAGCAAGAAGGTAACAGTTGTAACTGCAAGAAATGAGAAGTTTAGTCTGAAATCTGTTTGTTTTGTTTTGTTTTTCCTACTTTCTGAAATCACTGATGCTGTTGTTTAAAACCACCACAGCTTTAGGAACAAGGATGGAGTGGTTTTTTTTTTTTTTTTCGCTCCACAGTAGCTTTTAGTGAGGTGATTATGGTATTCTTCCAGAAGTGGTGAAATCTGCCTTGTACCCCCATAGTTTGTACGCCCGAGTTCCAGGCAGCACTAACCTCTCCCCACGTTGTGGTATTTCTGTAAAAGTGACCCTTGCTCTCCGTCATGAACAACCGAACTGTTCAGAGTGTGACACCTTTTCACACACGGCTGCTTCGTGCAGTCCAAAGTCAGGTGTAAGTAACGTGGTGGCTTTGGGATAGCTCTGGCAGCCCATGCTGGCAGTTGCGAATCTCTTTGGAGGCCCTTCCCTTCTCTCTACCTAATGTATAAAAAGATGGAGCAACAACTCAGGGCGGTAGATTCCTTTCTGGGAGTCAAGGGCCTCAAAGTTAGGTGTTGTAATGTTGAATGTTGCTGATAGCAATGTCTGTCTCTGGGTCTCGTTCTGACTGTTTATTCAAACTTGTATTTTAATCAGAACAGTAGGAGAAAATCGATGCTGTCACAGATGGAAAGAATATATTTTTCTTTAAATTGCCATCGCATATTTCTTATGCAGAATAGTAAACCTGGAAATTTACATTGGTTCGAATTACTTACAAAAAAGAAGAAAATGTTTCTGCAGGGTTTGCGAACACATAGAATTGAGGTGCAGCAGCATGTATTTTACCACTCCTGTTTTGATATGTGAATGACAGAAAACTTACTGAATTCAGCCATTGTGTGTACAAACATATGTATATGTTTTAAAAATGTAAAGATTCAGGTGTGTTTCAAACATTACAGGTTTTATCAAGTTTTTGTTTTAAAATTAAGGAGGAAATGTGTTCTCCTTATTCGTATCAGTTAAAAACGCATTCTTATATACTTCTAGCTTCAATTCCAGTACCTTAACTTTGAGTGAAATATTGCAGTTACAGAGACCAAACTTTGGAATACTGAGTGCTGCCCTGGCAAATTTCCAGGCACCTGGAGGCTGCAACCCATCTCCATATTGATTTCCATAAACACTAGTGTCTCCACCCCCTCTTTTTTTGACATTTTTTTAGCATTTCTCTTGCTTAACTGTCATATAATTTACTTGTCTTCTACCACTTCATTGCCTTCTCTCTCACTCCTAATTTTCTCTGTTCTTAAAAAAAATTTAAGTATCTTACTCCTTTTCAATGCTGACGACTTTTCTAATTTGCTCTTCCTTTCTTTGGTCTTCTCACCACTTCTTTTTTTTTTTCTTGCTTTCTAAAGACTCCTTTCTTTCCCATACTTTTCAGATTGGTCTCCTGTATATCTAGTCTCGGTGATGTTACAGAGTTATGTAGCCATGAACTTGCAGGGTTGCACACAGAAACAGCCAGTGTTCCCTGTTGAGATTCACTGATGACTATCAAGTTTTTTTTGAATAATATATCTGTCAGGAGCAATGAAAATTGAAGTATGCAGTATGAAGCATGATGAAGTCTGACAGTTATGAGAACAGGCGTATGTCACATTTATGGCATTTCTGTAGTCTCTGCTGCCAGCTACAAAGGAATAAACTAGTGGATGCCTATCTGGAGGAAAAAAAGATTAAAGTTAAAAGGTTTAAGTTGCATTTGCCCTGTATTATATGCTGTGCATGTTTAGAATTCTCTTTGTTTCTTGTCCTGTTCTCCCTTCCTTCCCCTCACCCGCAGGCTGGAGCTATGATGTTGAAGAGAGGAGAATTCCAAAACCTAAATCCAAGTCTTATGGTGCAAACTTTTCTTAGAACAAAAGAACAACGGTGTCTACAAAATAGTTTGGCATTGGCTATCTGTCTGACTGTTAATAAAGTCAGCTGTGCTGTATTTATAGGCCATGTATAATACATCTCTTAATCTCCTAATAAATTTGACCTTTAAACTACAGATGCATCTTGTGATGTCTATTTAAAATGTTTTTGATGTCTCCAATTGAACCTGTTACAAACTTCCCTATATATAGAGGAGATTTGGGGTGTTCATACTTCTAGAAAATTACTATACTAGGAATCTATCAAAAGGAATGTTTGAAATCAGCTGCAACTTTAAAGATTGTCATTTGTCTTTCATCATAGCATTATTTTCAATATCTTGTTTAAACTTGTCATTATCCATGTGTGTACAAACTATATCAGTAGGAGATAATATCTTGCTGTATAGAAGAAAAAAGTCATCAGTGAAATAGTGAAGTATCATATACAGAAGTTAAAGTTAAGAGTATTATGTAGACTGCTCCCCAGAAATGTATGGTCTTTAAGCTCATTTCTGTGCAAATTAATTAATTGAAATTATTCCAGAGGCATTCATGGCTTGAATAGAAATCGTTGTTTTTTTCATTAACATACAGGAAGTTTGGTCCAAAAGACTGAGATAATTGTTTCTTTTTTGATGCTTTTCAAAAATGAAGCTAAACTAGTTAAATATTTACAAATTACATCAGAAGAACATCAGTTGCCTGCCATAGCATCAGGCCTATCAATAAATATTATACCCTATTAGTTATATAATTATATTTCTGGTTTCTCCTTGCTCGTTATATATTTATCTGCATTGAGGTTTCCTATTACATAACAAGAGAGGTGGTGGTGGTATTTCAACCTTAAAAGTGAATGTGTAACCAAAACTTAATTTTGTGTTACTTAAGTAATTAGTTATTATGATATACAGTATTATGTTTGGAATTCTTGGTCTTGCATAGATATTGCTTCTGATTTAATGCTTTTTCCTTCAACTTTTACTTAACGTTTTGGCACATCAACTCATAATCACTGAACTGAATTACAAAGGGTGTGTTTTTGTGTGTATGTACTTCCCCAAGCACATCTTTCCTCATCTGCAACTGAGCATTTTATCACAACTTTCACAGAGGAAACAGGTCAAACACATGTAACTAATAAAGCTATGTATACTATCCATGATATTCTAGGAAAAAGAAGGCATAAAACTAATGTTGTCCAAGTTTCATTATGTTCTTGTTTCAGTTTTAACCAGCTGTTTCCTGTGTACTGGCTAACATTTGTTTAAACCATTGTTTTTGACCTAGTTTCAGTGTAGTCAACCATTTGGCCAATGTCACTGCTTTCCTGCCACAGTCAAGAATTGTTATTTCAGTTCATCTTTCTGTTGAATTTGGAATTCTGCATTGTGCAGTGAAGCCTAAATTCCTCCAACAAAGCACAGCAGACTGCAATCCCAATAGTCCAGAATTTACTTCATCTCTTTTTCAGCTAGTCTTAATAATGTGTTCTTAATAATAAAATGTAATACTCTGTTCTTACTAATACTGCTTCTAGAAAGGGCTTGTTCTGTTTCCTTGGTATCTTAGCAAGCTATGAGTAACAGTGAGATCAAGGTTATTCACTTCAAATCTGGGTAGAAGTCTTTTACATTCGCAGGTCATCAGTTTGTGTCCATGGCCTGGTATAGAATGGGCTTTGGAGCCACTGTAGCTCGTTGGAGTAACGTGTGGCCTTATGAGCATTACCGTGTGTCTTATTTTATGAACATAAACATGGGATTCCAAACTGCCCAAAGCTTCCCACATAATTCCTGGTGCCTTCCATGTGTTTGCAACTGAAGTCTTACTGATGCTGTCTGAGATACTTCAGCCTTCAAAATTTTTATAGATACAAGTCAGCAATGATCTCTGAAGAAACTGAGACATCATGGGCCGTGTGTCTATATAACTACTTTTTTTTTGTATCTGCTCTCCAAGGTATGTGATACTTACATAATTTTTTAACAGATTTTTTCTCCATATGAAAATCCAGGTGCACGCGTTTTAGGTTGTTGGCCACTGCGGTATTGTGCATTCTGACTAACAAAAAAAAAAAAAAAAGAAGCTTTGGTTAAATTTTAACTTCACTAATAATCTCAATTTCTTTTCTTTTACCCTACCTATTTGCATACTTCTACCTTTCTTCCATCTTTTCCCCAAGTTTCCTGCATATGTTCTTGCATGATTGCATTCTGTTTTAAATATGCATTCATTTATGTCAATTCACTGATGATCCATCTCAGGGAAAAAAAAAAAAAAAGTAGCTGATTGCTCTGATCTGTCTTGATCTGGACAATTTATTAACTTTCTCTTACTGAAGCCAAATTAAGATGCTGGAAGTAAGTGTTTCTCCTCCTACTGTTGAATGCATGTAAAAATATCTAAGAAACCCTTTGCAGTATTGGACTCGCTACAAAATGTAGGTGCATAGCTGCATATACATCAATATATTTTGAATAGTTTGAGTATGAAAAAATGAAGTTTAATTTTTTTTTGCTGGATAAAAAGTTATTCTGAAGGTGGGTAGCATTCCTAATTTCAGTGAACGATTTTGTATTAAAACAGAGGCCCTGAGCTTCTTAAAATCATGATGTTGTAATGGAACTTAAAGACTGTCAGGAACCTAAGAGTACCAGTTCAGATTTTTAGCACTGTAGTCCTTAACTGTACAGTTTGATGGATAATTTAAAACAAATCAGACTAGTTAAAGTGATATTATGAAATGGAAAATTTAATTACCCTTATCTGTGAAGCTTTGTCATGTGGTAGGTAGAAGGGGAAAAGTGAATGCAGGCTAATTTTAGCTTTTGCTTGTAATTTCATGCTAGGAATTTAGGTAGTTCGGTTTTGCCAGGGATACAGTTACCTGACATTGTGTTTGGTTACTGGGCATACCAGCATATTTTTTTATTCCAGAAAGAAAAGTAGTGCAAATAAGCCTGAAATAAGCTAATAATAAGAATGTATTTAGGCAGTTGTACTATAAATTATGGTATGTCTGGTAATAGAGTTCTCCTTGAAAAATCCTTGTCTGAGAAGAAAGATTTATGGAGTAGTTGTCCTTCCACCACTACCCCCTTTTTTTTTTTTTTTTTAAAGACCCCAATTAATGCTGGAGTATAACAACATCACCAACATTAGAGGGTTTTTGCAGTAAATGAACCCACATAGCACAGCAGGTAAATTAATTTGATGTTAATTAATTTGGTATTGTGTTAAAACTTGAATTTTTATTAAAGTGTGGGTTCTTCACATTCACCATGAAGATCCTAGAGAGGTCCATGTCCTAAAATAAGTCCTGCACAAGACATGTTAACAAAGTCCTTTTTGAACAAATTACTGAGGATAAATACAAAAGCAAGACAGTAGTCTTGCAAAAGTCCTAAAGGAATTTAAATATGAACTTATAATCTGTAGCTCAAATATTTTACTTGAAACTGCTTCTGTAGCTGGGTCATAGAGGGTGGCAAATGTAATGCCAGTTTTCTTTAAAAAAAAAAAAAGCCTATAGACATTGCTGTAAACGTATATAACACATAAATAATGAATCATAGTGACTTTTTTTAGAAGGACTTTGCTTTCAATACCTGTTCATGTTCTTCAGGAGAATTGGTGAATATGGGGGCAAGGTGATTCAGGTGCTCAACTTGGAGTACCCAGCACAGGGTGACTGTTCTGCTGTATTGTGGTTATACAGGCCACGCTATTCTGTTTGACAACACTTTATGATTACATATTTTCTTTGGAGGGTTATGAAGTCTTAGTGTCTAAGATTACATTAATATTTAAATGAAATAGATATTTCCTGTTATACAGAATTTACCCACCTAAAACATCATAGTGAAACAATGTCTTTGCAAAACCCGATACAGTAACTACAGTTAGTCTTAACAAGATATTTAGTAAGTCAAGAGAAGTGAAGAAAACTTGCGAAGGTATTGTTTATTCAGGAATTAAACCTATAAATACTAGAAGGTGGTTCTATTTCTCTGTGTTATGCAGATAACAGAAGAAAACTCTTAGCATGTCCAGTAAGAAAAACAGTTGTTCTTTAGTCCTATTCGATTTTCTCTAACAGCAATATACGTGCAAAGCTGTGTTCATTCTGTTGAGATAGTTTTTATGACTGAGTTCAAGCTGATGAATGTTGCCTTTTAGCTTTTATCGAATATGGGAACTTAAACTGAGCAATATTGGAAATTTGAACCCTGAACTTAATGTTCATTACAAGTAGTCCTTAGGAAATTCTCTGCTTATTACAGCACTTTTTCTAGTCAGTTCTTGAGTGTTTCACCATTTTGGTTAACAGATAATGTGATACATTGTTGCCATGTAGACATTTTATCAAAATTGTAGGGAACTGCTCAAAAATGTAATTTATTTTGTATCTTTTAAACTGCAGACTGATTCATTAATATATTGTATGACTCTTAGCCTTTTGATGTTGCTTTTTTCATCACTCTATTTGATGTGACAGATTTCCATTTTATTGGTGTTCTGATACGAAGTTATTTCACCAGTCAGCAACCTGAAGTACAGCTTTTAAATATATAACACATCTAATAATTAGAGAAGATAATAAAATCTTATGTTTATCAAATTTCACTGAAATACTGAAAAATGAACTACTAAATACATTGCAACCATAGATAAAAACATTTGCTTTACCTTAAGCTTTCATATTCCTTAGATCTTTAGTAGATCTGTATTAAACAGAATACTGAGGGAAAAAAGGTACATTTGGTCCCAGAGGGGATATGGAACTACATTAGCGAAAATGCACAATAACTTGGTCCCACATTTTGCACTGGTTTTATACCAGACTACTATGCCAGTCCTATGATATAAACAAAATTACTTTTAGTGACTGGGCTATGAAAGAGCGAAACCTGCCTCCCTGTGTGTAATCTAAATTTTAAAAACAACTTTGTCCTGGCCCATGTCTGAATCTTACAGCATCTGCTTTAAAATGAGGCGATGTGAATCCTGCTTTTCTACCATGTGCATATCTCACACGTAGACTTGGATTCCTTTCCTAGTTGATGGACTGTGATTCATTTAGCTAGTGTTGAAATCTGAAACAAGTTGCGCTGCGCTTTAGAAGTACCTT